TTTCTCGATATGATACCAAATCTCAACTTTTCCCAATTGGGTACGAAGTAGACCTATGAATACACTCGATCTTGCTTAAAGCTTGCAATTACTCAAAACAATAATCAAAACCCAAAGGCAGAGAAGAAAGACTGGGTAAGAGTCGAAGTCAACAAAAATTCAATGTGATTGCCGAATCTCTGAAATCCAAAGAGAGCTTGTGATTCTGAGTAGTGGATTTTCGATATGGAAATCGAGGGAGTTGTGCAGCAAAAGCTAAATAGGAGCTGGTGAGAGCATAAGTACTTCGTGGTAAATCTAACGGCTGAAATTAGCAAAAAATCACGAGAATTTCGGAGCAAAAAGATGTGATGTTCAGAGGGAATAAATTCGAGGAGGTAAGACAAATTGAGATCACACGAATTTTAATATTTTATATGCACAGGTAAGATCTTACGATTCGTGTCGATATTACGATTTACGATCTTTTTATCCCCTCTCAATCTTACGTAAGATCTTAATCTGAACAACACTGGTCTTATGTAATGGCATTTGCGTTGAATAAAACATTGACAAACAAGAGTCTTGTTACAAGTTATATAAAGATACAAATACATGCTATAATAACCCACATTAGTAAGTCTTGTTAAACAAGGAATTAAGTAAGCATTTGAAGGAAATTGTGACGAAACATGTTAGTATATGGATGTCTTAGAGACAATCTTTTGATTAAATTAGGATATATGTGGACCTTTTTATATTGTCGCAAATAAATAATAAGCACTCTTTATCCTGTTTCATATTTTGTCTCAATATTATTGTTAATATATTATATGAGTAACTGGATAAACCCCTTGGAATAAAATAGGTATCTCTTGAGTATCTGTGATGAGATCACGATCATGAGGATTTAAGGATACCAGATGTTTATTCATAATTTTATGTTCCTAGTCTAGAGACACTGAGAATGGGGATCAGTAATCTCGGGTAAGACTAGCACGACTTATCTACTTGTATTCGGATACAAGGTAAAGACCTCGTGAGCTACAGATATGGAGATGTCTTAGCTGAAGTTGTGGGTGGACCTATAAGGGTATAGCTCGCACTGAACAGACCCACAAAGAGACTCTATGAGGAAATCTTACAAAAGTATCATTAGAGCTGTCTCTTAGTATTTGGGTATGTCTTTTCTTAGACCATAAGTTGTCACCTAGACTGTGTTCTACAAGGCATGTTTTGATTGTATACCTCGTCTGCCTAAAACATGGAGACTCATAGGTATACTTTTGGACATGTCCTAAAAGAGCACAAGCCTAGGGTGATAAGCTGAAGGAATTCGTCAAATCTCTGTAAGGGATTAGGTTATTTGTAAACCGGAGAAATCGGGATGACATTTACAGGACTCGGGAATCTATGCATAGTAAAAGAGATCATGAGACGATCTGCCTTTAGAGTCAGTAAATTGAAGATTCCCTATTTCGAATTAAAGCTTACCCTAAACTGCAAGGGTTGATACATATCCTCACCCTAGGTTTAATGGGAAGGTAACCGAGATGAAAGGAAATACATACAGTAACCAAATATATGTAATAGGATGATCATGTCATTAACCTAACTAGCTCTGGGGCATTAAAGCATTGCTAGTGCTCTGTGTTGTCATTAAATGGGTTGTGGGCTTGTTGGGTCCAAGCCCATTTATGTCAGTGGCTATGTTGGGCCTAATGGGTCACACACTAACACCTTATTGTCTTGATGATATAGCATTAAAGGTATTGAGCCCAATAATGGTTGTTATCCCAAGAAGAAGTTTGGAAGCCCACCTAAAAGGGAAAGGCGCATGGTAGTAGTAATGGGCTTGGATGGTCCAAGACATTATTAATTAATTTAATTAGTTAAATTAATTATCAAATATTTAAATTTTGAATTTAAATTTTGAATTTGAATTTTGAATTTAAATGTTTGAACGTTTGAATTTAAATGTTTGAACGTTTGAATTTAAATGTTTGAATTTGAATTTGAATTGGCTGTGAAAGGTTGTTTCATAACAAAAGGATAAGATGGGATCTTGATGGATCAAATCCCAAGTATCAAGAGAAGATCTTTGGACATCTTCTAGCAAGATTGGGGCGCTGATTTGGTGATCCTTTGATGGTCATATGGTCAACCAAATAAGCTCCAATCAGATTTGGTTTGTTGAGAGAATAAGTGAGTGAGTTGGTTCAATTTGAATTGCTACTCAATGTATTTGGACTGTTTTTGGGCTGAATACTGGCGCACCAAATGGCTGGCGATATGATGGTTATTAAGTCATATTTTTGACTAGGTATAGACTTAGTCTCATAAGGATATGATAGGAGGTTGTTGGCTAGATTTGAATTGCAACAACTCCACTTATTCCTCCACCATTGGGCGCTACATAGGTCAGATTTTTGGAAGAAAAATCTGATTCAAATCAATTTGATCTCTCATCTCCAAAAGTGCATCCTTTTGTTAGGTTCTCTTAAGGGTTTTTCGAAAACTACCTAGCCTCTTCTCATAGAACTTCATGTGCCACTTTGTGAGTCTTCATGCTGAAAATTCACTCAACTAAACACCTTGAAACCTAAGCCTCTTTCTCTCCTATTGGACGCCTAGCTATCCTTCCTTGTGGTGTTTGATTGGTGGCTTTTAAGAAGTGTTCTTGCATCTTGACGTAGGGTGGTGTGGATCAACATTAGAGGGTTTGAACCTTCAAACCTTACATTGATCACTTTGAAGTTTTGAATCACGAACAAAGGTATCATTACGTCCTAAAGTACGTATCTTAATTTGCATGTGTGTTTCCGCTCTTGAAAAATTTTGTTTTCATCCTCACATGCCTACGCCCTTCAAGGCTATTTTCCTGCAAGTGGTATCAGAGCCCGGTCGCTTTACCATCGACGAGTGATGGTACTTTGTTTGTAAAAACTTGTTCTTTACGGTCAAAAGTTCTTTAAAGAATTAAAGCTTGAATCTTAGCATATGGATTTTGAATTACAATGCTTTAAATTGTTAAAGTTTTTATTTTATGAACATGTTAATGTGATTGCTATGTTCAAATATCTATATGTGTTCATGGTTTTGTTTCTTTTTTTTGTGAAAGTTTTGAAAAGAAACACCTTTTTGAAAGGGATGATTCGGCCATGAGGGGTACTTCGAGTACCTTGATTGTTTTCTTATTTTTCTCTATGAATTGTTCCATGAGAATAGCATGAAATTTTTGTGATAAAATTTATCATATATATGCATATATGATTCGGCCATACAAGGAGTGATGTCTGCATGCGTGGTTTAATTTTGTGTTCTTTGAGAAAAAGTCATCAAAATTTGTATTATATTAATTGTTATATAATTCGGCCATTAAGAGAAAAATTAAGAAAAATTTGAATCATGATTCTTGTAATGATATTTTAATTGTTAAAATGTTAAGACGTATGGATGAATATGTTTTGTAATATTTGATATTTTGTGCTTGCAAGTTGTCTGACTTTTCAGGTGCAAATTGGAAGGGGATAGTCATGGTGCCCGGATTTGAATTTCAAATTTTTTTAATTTTAAATTAAAGGTGTAAATTTGAATTTTAAGTTTTGTATATTCATTTGTCCCTCCAAAGATATTTTTGGAGTTTCTTTAATTATTTTGTAATTAGAGAATTAGGCTAGTGGCGTTTAGACGACAAGGAGCCGTGGCTTAAGAAGCAAGATGGACGAATGCATGAGCACCATGACCGTCTCAAATAAAATTGTTTTATATGCTTGTATGTTTTTAAACGACTAGTATGCATGAGATAGTGTATCGCGAATGTATGCTTTTATGTTTTTAAACGACTAGTATGCATGAATTGGACAAATCGTGTTTGTATGTATTATCGTGCACGTCCAATTACGACTAGTGTAATCCGATAGATGTTTGACATAGGTTACGACTAGCATGATAATAATACATATGTGTTTGATGAGACTTAGTAAACCCTAAATAAAAGGAACCCTTAAAGGAATTAATTATTAAGTGCATGATTACCTCCCACCACAAATATTACTCAAACCTCTTCTAAATAGTGGTGCTCCACAACTCAGTTGGGACCCACTGTTTCGTTGAGTAAGAGTAGTATTAGAAGTGTTAGACACTTAGGGTGCTGGTTAATGCTTAACTGAGAACATGAGTTGCAGGCTCAACCGGGCTCATGTGCGTAGGGTAATAGTGCTAGGTTGGTTGCATGAGATACACCACTAAGTGACAAGTAGTTGTCAACCTAATGTTAAGAGAGGGTATGAGATACTGTTGATAAAGATCAACCCATTATTTAATTTAATCTTGCGGTCTCAGACGAGGGTTAAAATAATTAATCGCACTCTTAAAATCCTACTAAGGTAAAATCTAAAAGTAGAACAACCCTAAGTCAAAGTTTAAGGGTCGTTGACTTAGATAAAATAATGGGAGGAGCATATTATTTAATAATTTGCTCTTATTATACGACAATATATATTAATTAATCTATCTTTACATTTTTCAATTTTTAGTATGACTAATCCGCTGTCACTGCGCTCAATACTCGATACGAACAAATTAACCGGTCCTAATTTTATGGACTGGTATCGGAACGTCAGAAATATTCTGCAGGCCGAAAAAGTTGCTTATGTCCTTGACACTGCTTTACCTATTGCGCCTAAAGAAGGGGAAGATGGGTTCGCGAAATTTGAATTCGAGGCCCACAAGCAACACATGGATGATAATGTGTTGGCTTGTTGCATCATGCTGGCATCCATGTCACACGAGCTGCAGAAACAGCACGAGCATATGGATGCCCCCTCCATTGTCCTTCATCTCAAGGTTGAATGAAAATAACTTGATTACAACGAAATGAAAAGTGGAAAATATGGTTGTTGCTCGTGAGGAGTCTCAAGTGGGTGATACAGAATGAAAAAGAAGTGTTGTCACTTAACTAAAGTTAAAACTATACAAAAATACAAGGAAAACTATAAAATAAACTAAGTGATCTCTTCTTAAGGAATTCGATTGTTGCCTTCGTGCTGGGACGTCCTATTTATAGGCAGAAGAGTGAATGGAAAGCTTGTAAATCTCTTGGAGTTGTTTTCTTGACTGCATAGAAGGGGCGGTGTGAACAGTGCTTTGAGGGGCGCAAGTGGCTGGATGAGACAGTTATTGTTGAGATTTGTCTTTCCTTCTGATCATCCACATGCCTTGTTTTCCTCTTTAACCAATAGGAACCGTTTATTCTCTGCTGTGCACGTTTCCTCTTGCTTGATTGTTGCACCGCTTATGCTTTATGGAAACTTCTTTCCAACGTTTCCTGCAAAGTGGTCAGAAATATTAAATTAGTGGAGCAGGTGTATTTGATGTTCCAAATATGTTCCCCTTTTTATATATTTTCCAAAGACTTACGTCACCATCGGTTCCCCACTGTGTTTTTATCAAAAAGATATTAAACATATGCTTTTAGTGCTAAAGTTGCTCATCAGGTGAGGGAACGGATGGCATTTTGCCATCAAAATGAGCTTAGATGGGCACGAATTTTCGTCCCATCAATACTCATGAGACAGAATGCAGATACTCGAGCTGTCATCTGCATAATCCCATTTTTAAGGGTTCAAACATGATTTGGAGTCCAATGACTCCGTAAACAGATGTTCATTAACATATTTTAGACTTAGAATCTCAGTCCTTAACTCAAATGATCCAAGTTTCACTTTTTAATAGATTAAACAAGCTAAAATCATGAAAATAACAAAGAGGTGATCATGGTATACCTCAAGCTCCAATAACTTAGAAAATGGGACACTCTTGGAGTTTCCAACACAGTCCCACAACACTGACTTTGCAAAGTTACGAATTTGATCACCAAGCTTAGCCCTCTTATGCCAAAAGGTGGCTCCTTGAAGCCTCAAGGTGAAGGAAGCTAGCCTTCCCACCCACAACCACAAAGTCAGCCACTCACCCTCACAACCAGGGGTCACAAGTCAGAATGGAGGTGTCTCTCTTCCTCACAAGGCCATCTCTCAAGTGTTTGCAAAAGAAAAGAGAAGAATTCAAGAGTAAAAATGGTGCCTTGGAAGTTTTACAAACCAAAGGCTCAAGCTTTGGGAGAAGGGAGGGAAGTTCGAAAAACAAAGAGCACAAGGAACTCTACGTAGGCAATATCAGCAGCCCTAGGTTTTTGTGCCAAAGTTTTTATTTATATGCGCATTAAGATAATCACACTGTATTAGCGCTAATAGCTACGCTTAGCATTTTAATCTCAAACTTGGGATTCTGAACCTAGCCATTTTTCTAAGATTTGTCATATTTTTATTTTATTTTTCGTAGTACTTTTCTGATACGCGCTTTTACTTAGCCAGTATCAGTTCTGACACCAGTTCTTATTATTTTGACTTGAAACTTATTATGCTCGTCCTATATATTATTCTAGTGGCATATACATATACTTTTCATAATTTTCCGGAATACTTCATCCGTACGCATTTATATCGTGAGGCAGAATCGGTATATGCAATTTTCGTCAGAAAAGCGACTTTCAACATTATTAATCACTACCATCATTATTTAAGCCTTCTCATAATTATTAGGGTCAATTATAAAATTATCTCATTAATCTCATCATTAATTAATTAGATTCCTAATTTAACGGTGCAGGTTCTTACAGATGGCCTCTCTCAGACTATTCCTTAATAGACAAGCCTATGTTTTGTAGTAAACTCAATAGGTACAGTGGCAAGCAGAAGTTTTCATTGGTTCCTAGTGGTGGCCAACTTGCCTGACTTGCTAACCTCGGCAATAATGATTCCTTTCAAGTTAAGTCATGTTGGCTTAGTGGCCAAGTACTTTAGCGAGATTCATACCTCTTTGGCGGGATGGTCTATATTTTAGGCTATGTCGCAAGGGCATTTAGTGATTGGGCATCTATCTTGTGTGCAGTAAGTCCATATCAAAAACTATGAGGAGGTAAATGATTAAAAAAAATATAAGGTTGTAAATGATTTAAAACAAAACTATAGGAAAGTTTAAGTTTTCCTTAAAAAATTTGCAGCACCAAGGTTTATGATTAAGTACGTGTATAAAGATTATTTCGGCGAGTGGTTGAACTTTCGAAGGCAATCCGTGCAACATCTTATAAAAAATTAGTTTTGACAAAAATAAAACAGAAATAGAACCAAACGTTGACCTTTCAACGTTTGTCTAATTGCGTAGTAACAAGACTAACCTTGAAGTTTATGGGGATATAAATCTTGACGTTACTCCAACTTGCATCAGCAATATGTAAGCACCAAAGGAAAAATGAAGAGCAGCAGCAACCAGTGTAAACGAAATTCCATCTAAATACTTGGTTGATGTGTAAAACTATGCTTTAAATTTTCCAACTTTACATTATGCATGTACAAGGATTGTGAGGGAGAAAACGTAGGGACAAGGACATGCAATAGAAGTTAGAAAACCCCCTTCATCTATATTCTATTGTCCCTTTGGACAAACTCGAGAAAAAATATAGGGTGAACTTAATAAATAAAATGAGACAAAATGATTGTAATGAATTATGAACAACTACATGGAACTAAGGTAATCTTTTATTATTGACAAAATGGGGTTGGCGTAAGGATATCCTTCTAATGTCTGAAACATGATTCCATCCATCCGGGCTTGAACTCCATCAGAAAATGTCAAGCCCTGTAGCAGTTCCTTCAACGTTCTGTCTACTCCAATGAGGGAATTCCCTACGCCTAATAAAATCTCGGGTAGAGAAGGGCTGGGTCTGGAGATCTCCACAACAGTAACCTGGCATAGCTCAAGCACAATCACCATGTTTTGCAACGGTACTTCTCAAGCACAACATTCATATTGCCAAAATAAAGGTGATCTCAAACCAACCTGTCTGTCTTGAGGTATATTGGCCTTCAATTTTGCTATGGCAATAGCTCGAGAAAGCCCTCCAATAGCATCAACCAAACCATGCGAAGCTGCATCTTTACCAGTCCAAACCCTCCCCTGGGCGACTTCCTCCATCTTATCTACCTAGTGACAGAATAGTAGCTGTAACTAAGATCTATAAGAAGGATGAGAGAAAAAAAAAAGGAAATTAGCTTATTAAATTTAAAACATACTGTCATTGATCTGGATAAAGCTGCCTTGTCTCGAAATTGTTTATAAGCATGCTGCGCAGATTTGGCAAATAGCTCTGCTTCATCTGGTCTGTAACAAAAAAAAAAAGAAAAAAAAAAAAAGAAATAAAAATGTTCATCTTTGTCTGTCCGGGAGTCAAATAAATAAAGATAATCTGATACAACAGAAAAATACCACCCCTGGAAAGGCCATAAATTTAAAGATATAATGGCAAGAAAATAATTTCTTAAAGCATAAATGGCTGTATATTCGTGAATGATGGGCCTGAGATAATTAGTTAGTTAGGGAGTGTGGGAGTGTGAGGTATGCATGAATTCATAATTAGTTGGTGGGGAAAATTGGGGATATCTGGGAATTGAGGTCTCTTGGGATTTTTTTTCTGCATTTTATTTTTGTATTAGTGTATGTAAAAAGAGGCATTGTTAATAAATCAGTGATATATTTTTCTGGGTTCCATCAATTTGGTACCAGAGCACTTCCGATCTAGGGGTGTTTCTGTTCCAGATCTGGAAAAAAAAAAAATGGAAAACAAAGTGAACAGAATGGAGAGGAGCTTGGATCGATTGGAAGCAAGCATGGATCGAGTGGAAGAAGGAATGGATTGAGTTGAAGACGCTTTTCGTCAACTTCAGAAAACAATTTGGACATTAATACAGCGCATCGATCCTTGTTTTGCAGAAGAAAAAAAATTGAGAATCAAAGAAACAAAAATCGAAAAAAAAAAAAGAAACGCAACAGAAAAAAGAAGAAAAATCAGCTGTTGAAGAAGAAGACAGATCCAAAAAAAGAGGATAGAAGAAGATCTACGAAAGGAATAGGACAGCTATTATGCATAAGGACATTAGAGATGTGGCCAGAAGGCAGCAGGTGGCAAGAATGACAGAAGTAATAACATTGACACAGTGGGTAGAAGGAGGAGGAGACGCTGAGGTAGATCAAAACTCAGAAAAAGAATCAGAAGAAATTAGGGAAAAAGAAGAAGTGCAAGAGGATGAAGAAGATCAAGACGAAGAAGAGGACGTTGAGGCAGCAGAATTGCAGTTACACGCAGTATCAGATTTGGGGAAGGAAGACGTGCTCAAGCTCGCACAAGGAATCAAAGAAATGGAGAAAGAACGTGAACGGGTCGGGTTGCAAACTGTGACGTGTTGGTGGCGCTTTGATAATAATTTGGTGGTTCTGTCACAGCGTATAACCATGGGTCCATCAGCTCAGACCTCTCACCCAGTTGTTCCTACAGATCAAGCTCACACTCATTGGGCTTCTTCATATTCAGCTTCAGCCCAATATACGAGTTCATCTTTCTCTTATATCCGTTCAGGCCCAGGCCCAGGCCCAATACCTTATGTCCGTCCAGTTTTCTTTTATGCAGGACATGGCCCAATGTCTTACACAAGTCCAGTGTCCTCAGTCACTTATCCACAATGTCTTGGACCGTCTACCACAAAGTCACAACAATTCTTCCAACCTAGTTCAGCATCCCTAGTACACCGACTGCCTGTCACTTCTTCTGAGAACCATATTTGCAATGAAGAATTTTCGCTGGAAGAGATGAAGAAGATGTATGTCTGCTTTGCACACTATATTTGTCACAACCCAAGCTTGCTGGTTATGTTGTTGGGTGTGGGAGGTTCAGTACCAGAGAATACAGACTTGGCAGCCATGGGCGATGGAAACAGTGTGCATAGTCGAGGGACGTGCAAGGGCATTCAGATTGACTTATCAAGCATGGCAGTAAAGGTTGAGCAAATGGAGGTGGACCTGAAGCTGTCATGTGCCCAAGAAATAGCAATTATAGAGTTCCTGAAAGTACTCCATGTAGCTTCCAGGAGTCCTACTAAGTTACCCTCAAGCAAGTCATGTGCAACGTGGTTAAATAGCAATTCTTCGGCCTCCAACATAACGAGGTCTGTATGCTTTAAACAATGGGACCCAGGTGGAAATTTCCCTCACACTACCTTCTCTTTCTTCACCTTGAGGACAAGGTGAATTTTGAAAGGAGAGTATTGATGGACCTGAGATAATTAGTTAGGGAGTTAGGGAGTTATTCTAGAATATTCTCAAATAATAGGATATAAGGAGGGGAGTGTGGGAGTGTGAGGTATGCGTGAATTCAGAATTAGTTAGTGGGAAAAATTGGAGATCTCTGGGAGTTGAGGTCTCTTAGAATTTATTTTCTGCATTTTATTTTTGTATTAGTGTATGTAAAAAGAGGCTATGCCTCCATTGTTAATGAAATCAGTGATATATTTTTCTGGGTTCCATCAGTGAACCTCCTTAAGCTGATCTTTAAGTGCCTATGGGGTAAAAGATAGTGATATTGTTCATTGTTCAGTGGATTTTCTTTGCCACGGTCCACTTTCAAATATTAAGGAATGAACCTCTTTTTCAGAGATCATGAACAGGGAACCCTAAAATTGCTACCAAAGTACCAAAATTATGTACGTCCATGGCAATCCATGCTAAATTTTATCTACTGTTCATCACGGACACTCATAATTGCTACATCCGCCCTATATAAATAGAAATAGTAACAACAGGGTCATTCAATGCCTTACCCGAATGTTCTCGCTTAGAGTTTGGTTTTTTTGGGGTGATAGTGGAAAAGTAAACTTCTTGACTAAGTAAAAAGGCAAGCCCCGGTGCATAAGACTCCCGACTTTGCAAGGATAGTGGCGAGAGTTTACCCTTGTATTTTCGTAAAGAGGTTGCTTCTCAGACTCGAACCCGTGACTTTCCAGTCATAAAAAAACAACCTTATTGCTACTTCGAGGCTCTTCCTCTAACTTCTTGACTGAGTAACATTACTAGTATTTGGAGTGAAAAATTAGTGGATATATTCTCACAGACCCCTTTGCTGAGGCATATGCTGCAAGGAAAAGGATGGGAAGTAGAAGGATAAACCCAAGGCTGAGGAGGATAGAATAGGAAATAAATGAAATATTCATGTTAAGTCTTAGAAAATAACTAAATGTTGAGTTGGCAAGGAATGATGGGAAGTGGGAATTTGGTTAGCAGAAAATGAGAATATAAGATGGAAGGATAGGTAGTGCAAGGAAGGCATGAATTGAGAGGAAAAGGGAATGAATTTGGGCTAAAGGTTCTTTACATTTGTTAGAATGTATATAGTTGTGTTAGTTAGTCCCACATTGTGTAAATAGGGGCCAAGCCCATATGTATTATTATAAATATAACCCTTATGTGGCGTAGTTGACATACAATTCCTCAACTTCAAGTTGGTACTAGAGCTCACGTTTTGGGAAACCTTGCTTCCGCAAAACCCTTCCCTTTTGCAAAACTGCAAAACTCAAATCCTACTGGGCCCATTGCCTAGCGGCCATCTTTCTTGCCAAGCATCTAACCTACAAGTTGTTATTGCCTCGTGTCCTACTAGCAGATCTCCATTAGTCCATGACGCGCTCCACAGCCATAGCTACCATCACGTTGCTGTCAGGTCGCACTCCGCCACCAGCGACTCTTCTAGCAACCTTTTCGACCGGCAACCACACGATTAGAACTACCTCCCTCCATCAACCCCCTCTGTCTAGGTTGCGTCTTGATCGGAACCTCCACATGCCACCAACATCTGGCGGCCAGTTTATCTTCCACCGGCATGTGAGCCGTTGTCCGCCAACTTCCTTTCTCGGTTTTCTCTCATTTGCTCATATCTAGGCTCAATTTTCCGTGGGTCAAGGCCGTTTGAAATTTTCTGAAGAATCATCATTGTTTTGGCCATTATTTACGACTGCTCTTAACTAGTTGCTTTTAGATCACTTTTTGAGTGTTTTGCAAGTTCCAACACCTTTTCCTTTGATTTCAGACTTTAGGAACTTTTTGGCATTCTTCCTCTCATCTTGTAAGTCTCAATGGGAGACCGCAATCTTGTCTTGCACAGTAGTAACTGTAGTTTGAAAGCCATAAACAAATACAAAAAAAGTACGATTATCCAAGTTATTTCCAATGGGTTTCACCAAATCACAAGGTGTTAAGGTGTTTTGTGGAGTTGATGATGCCATGACTTGAGTGGACTTGAGTCGAGGTGTTCTGATTTCTAAAATCAAAACTGAACAGACAAACAAAGGAGAAAGTGACTAGAAAACAGCAAAACAGAGGAGAAAAGAGAGTGGTTTGAGAGAAAAAGAGCTTAGAAGGTACTTTTATTCTCCTGTCAAGTCTCGTTATCGGGTGGGTCAAGAGAGGAGTGGGTAGCGAGAATAGGTCAGGAGAATAAAACAACAAACAGAAAAATAGAGTAGGCTGAGAGAAAACAGCTCCAACTAAGTCGAGCAAAGGAGAGTATTCTTGCAAGAAAACCGTCCAAAGCGTGATAGGCTTATCGAAGAGTTGAGTCAAGAGAAAAGTGGTTCGATAGGGTTCACTGCACAAACATCAGTATTACCAGGAAAAAGTGGGGTCAAAAGTCATTTTTGCCCCCTTAAACTACGAGATTGCACGCACAAGGGAAGATACGAGATTTCCCCCTCTATAGTGGCGTTGCAATTGGCCGCAATTGAGACTATTACAACTGCTACATAGATCCGTCACATCGCATTACGTTTTTCGTGGGGAGGGTGCGCTATGCACCAGTGCAGCACAATAGAGCGCAATTGCACTGTTATTGATAACATAGCAATGTACTTTTAGCCCATTTGAGCAGGGCAGGCAACTGGTAAGAAAGTTTTGGATAGTATCTTCTATTTTGGAAAATAGATCCTTTATCTCCTATTAAGGGATTGTATATTATGAAATTAATTAGGATTTGATTTCATTTATAATTTCCTAGTTTCCCATTATTAGATAAAGATTGTAAATCCTAAATAAATAGAATAGGGCTGCTGAGGAACATTTCAAGCATTTGACAAATCTGTTTTTTACATGATATCAAGATCCAATTCATGTCGGCTGGCGTCTGTTTAGAAAAACCCTATATTGTGTCCGTGCCCTTCTTCCAACTACCACCCTGGATGGGTACCCAAATGCTCTGGATCACCCTAAAGATCTACTTTAAGATAGTGTCTTTATTGGTGGTAATCTCATATCCCATAAAAGCAAAATGTAATTGTGCAGTCCGTGTAGAAATTAAGTACAGAGCCATGACAATTGTCACTTGTGAATTTATATGGTGAAACAATTACTTGGCGGGTTAACATTTGGAAATATTGGTAATTTGAAACTATGTTGTGATAATCAAGCTGTTTTACACATTGCATCAAATCCGACCTTCCATGAGAGAACCAATCATATAGAGATTGATTGTCACATTATCATGGAGAAAATTCTTTCTAAGGAAATCATTATTGAATTTGTTGATGCTAGTGATTAACTAGTTGATATCTTCACAAAGTCGCTACGGGGACCTTGAGTACATTTCATCTATAATAAGCTGGGTGCATATGAACAGTATGCTCTAACTTGAAGGGGAGTCTTGGATAGTGTCTTGTATTTAGATAAATAGATCATGTATCTCCCATTTCGAGATCGTACATTATTTAATTAATTAGGATTTGATTTAATTTGTAATTTCCTAATTTCCTATCATTAGAGATTGTAAATGGTACATAAATAGAAATAGAATGGGAATGTTAAGGAAATCATCAAGCATTTTACTAAACCTTTTTCTACATAAAGTAAAAGTGACATCTTCCCTTCTCAAAGAGAGTGCCTGACAATTGACATATCAAATGACATATAACACTGACTAATATTCTTTTCTGGTCATCTAGAATCTTGATACATGGAAATGAAGAAATAAAATTACCTAAAAGGACGCTGTTCAGCAGCAAGGAGTTCAGCATATTTTCCCCTTGATATAGTTTCTTTGTTAAATCCAATCTTCTCATACAGTTTCCCTAGATTAAACTTTCCTACAAAAGATATATTATATCATAAATTAACAGATAACAAAATTGAATAAAAATATGTAACACTGACTATTCATGATGGTATAATGTCTTATGTCATTATTTCAGAGCTCAAATGAATAATTTGCTTCCAGGTACAATTTCCTTTGATTGCATTTAATAACCATTCAAAAGATAGCACAAACTGTTATATTTTTCTTCATTAAAACAAGTTCAATATTCTGTTTACCATATTGAAAATTAGAGTGAAAATGCTAACCATATGTATTAAATTAATTTACTTAATAATCCTGTTTATTGTGTGACGGACAAGTTTTGTGCATATAGAGATTTACAACTATACATATGTTGGATATCTTTGTTTTGGCATTCTAATCTGTATAAAGGAAAATTTCATCCTGCATTGGTCATGTTAAAAGATGCATTGAACAGCAGGTTTTCCTCTGCATGGAGAGTAAACAGATATCAGCAGTCTGTACATTAATGCTTCCTCTTCTTTTTCTCAAAGTTGATTTTGAAGAAAAGGCCACTAGAGCTGGAGAAATTTCAATATATGTAAATATGGCTACAGGATCACAACTATGCCTAAGTAATATCTAGTGATATCTTACATCTGCCTAACGCAGTGGGAAAACAAATACAGAGATTGATTTTTTGTTAGTGCCTGCGTTAGGAGTTTCCTGATGGGCCACTAGAGCCTTTTATGCAGTATTATAAAAGAAGGAATTCAAAAGCAAATTCAGCCCAACAAGACAATAAGGATCAAGTCAGCAAAGGGATAGAGAATCAGAAGGTTTCGGTGGGATCTCAGCTATTGGGTCCAAGCCCAAGTAACAGCAGTAAAGAAGAGGAGGAGATAATTCAAAGCACAAGCAAAGAAATGAAGTTAGTTACGCGCATAGAGGACAGCTGGCAGCTGCTGAATGGCCAAAAGGAAATTGGGGAGCCAAAGAACGTGATGGGAAGTTAGTTATAATGGGAATGAAAACAAAAAAAAGGGAGGAAAATATTCATCATCTTGGAGAGAGGGAATAGGGGTTCTCTGCAACAGGTTTCGTTGTAGAGGCAACTGGGAAAATTGGGTGATTTACTCTTTGTTTAAGAGTCTGTAATAATCGTCTGATAGCTCTTAGTTTGCTTACTGTTGGAGTCTGTATTTTCCATTGCAGTATTGAGTCCGAGTAATTGTTGAGTCATTGAGTCTGTTATTCCTTTTCAATGTATTTCCCTTCAATGCATGGAAGGTAGGAGTCTGGTTACTTGTTTGTAATGAACATAGTGCCACTGGTTGTTATTTGATTATTATAACCTGATACAGAGGTATTTCAGAAAATATTACATTGTGTGATTGTGTTTGCTGTTAAACCATAGATAGAAATATGTCAACCCAGTATTATTCTACAGGTGCCATCAATTTGGTATCAGAGCTCCATTGATCCTGAAAAGAAATTAAAAAAAAAAAAACAAACAAAGAAACAAAAGGAAGTATATGGTACTGACAAGGATGGAAGCAAGACTAGAGGAGTTGGAGAGGGGAAGAGTTCGACAGAACGAGAGATACACAGGGCTGGAAGAGTCTGATAGAGCCCAGCTACGTAAGGCCCAACTTCAACAAGTCTACAGCAGAGACAAATATAGAAGAAGAGGACTCAATGCAAAAGAGCCCAATACTAAGCAGATGGAGGTTGAGCCAGCGGCAATAGAGGCCAAGGCAACGTTGTTAGAAAATGCTGAGTCAGCTGGAGGTTAGAAGAGAACGTGAGGGCAACAATTCACTTAGCAAGGGATGGGTATTAGTAGAGTGAGGAGCAGGAAAGAGAGGCACCAAGGGGTCATATTGTTATGAGTGTTTTTTGAGAGTAAGCAAGGGCTGCTCTTGTTATCATTTTCTTTCTTCTGTAATTTCTTTTCCTTCAATCATTGATCCATAGCAGACTATGGAGAACCAGATGCATTGTTCTTTGAATTGTTGTTATTTTGAGTTGATTAATACAAGAGTAATATTCAGTACAATTTTCTGTTAATTTACACCAGCTTATCAAAAATATACAGTACCCTATCTGCTAAGTTTACGTAAATTCGTATCAAGTGGTATCAAAGCTCCGACTGGGAGCTGGGTTATGGTAAGAACGCGTAACATGGAAGGAATGGAGGAAAGACTGAGACGAGGAGAACGGAACCAAGAAGAGTTAATGAGACGCATGGATGCTAATGATACCAATCAAGCGGAAATTATTCGCCAGCTACGGGAACTACGAGCAGGTATAGAGCAAATCCGTTCGGATGAGTTCCGCAACAGGGGAAGAAACAGTTCTGAAGCCTCTCATGGTAGTCACCGAGGAGGAGGAAACATGGATCATCGGGTGAGGAAGCTGGATGTACCAATTTTTTCAGGTGAAAATGCGTATGCGTAGCTTAGCAAAGTGGAGCGGTATTTCCAGGTGAATGGAGTGGAGGAAGAAGACAAGGTGCCCACGGTGATGTTAGTATTAGAAGGTGAAGCCCTGAATTGGTATCGTTGGTGGGAGCTGGATAAACCAACGGCGGCGTGGGGGCAATTCCGGCGTGAGGTGTTGTGCCGATTTCAACCGGAGCTCCTGGATAATCCGTATGGACCTCTGTACGCGTTGAAACAGACGAACTCGGTGCAAGTATTCAGAAACGAATTTGAGACGGTGGTAGGGACGATGCGCTACATGGATGAGGAGATGTTGAAGGGGGCTTGGCTGAGTGGGCTCAAACCTAGTATCCGTCAAGAAATTCTGATGACGCCTGGGCTCAGTTTGGCTTCTATGTTAAAAATGGCCCAACGAATTGACCAAAGGAATGTTGCCTGGATGGATGAAGGGGTGGGGTATTTTGGGCCTAATGGTTTGAATGGCCCAGTTCGCAATAATGGGCAAGTCAGTTACTCTAAGGGAAGTTTTATTAAAAATTCAGGCCCTCAAACATCAGCTCAGACCAATACGGGGGGGAACCCTAAACCAAGTGCCCTAACCGGTGGAGAGACAGTCGTCGCGTCTCAGAGCAATTCTGCGTCAGTCCAGGGTGGTTTCCGTCGGATTTCTAACGCAGAGGCCGCGGACCGGCGAAAACGCGGCCTGTGTTTTCATTGTGAGGACCGGTGGACACCAGAGCATCGTTGCTCCTCTCGTCAACTTCACCTATTGATCATGGACGATGGTGACGAAGATGAAGCGCACAACGTTGTCAGGGACTCCGAAATGGTCTTGGAGGCCGTCAAAGAACCAGATGAGTCACAGTTACAGCTCACGTTGCATAGTATGATGGGCCTCACCTCCAATCAATCGATGAAAGTGTGGGGGGAAGTCGAAGGAGAAAAGCTGGAGGTGCTTATTGACTGTGGGGCCACCAGCAACTTCGTGAAGGTTGAGGTTGTCCAGCGTCTTGGGCTAACGGTGGATGAGACTCCTTCGTTCAATGTTGTAGTTGGAGACGGACACAAGGTGGAATGCCGTGGTGTGTGTAGAAAGGTGAAGGTCAGAGTTCAGGAACATGATATCGTGCAGGATCTCTTTCTCTTCGCGCTAGGGGGTGCCGATATTGTCCTGGGGTTGGATTGGCTGAGGGAATTAGGGGAAATCAGAGCTAATTTTCGGGAAATGACACTTAGATTTGGAGAATCAGGGAAGGAGACGATCATCGTGGGAGATCCCACCCTGTCCAGAACCCTTTCTTCTCTTAAGGCCATGACTAAGGCCCTCAAGCAAACTGGACAAGGTTATTTTGTGACTAAGGAGGACCAGAATATGGCAGAGACTCTCGAAGACAGCATCTTTCCTCAGGGGTGGAAGGAGTTGGGAAAGTTGTTGGAAGATTTTGGGGATTTGTTTGCTCGGCCAAATGGAATCCCCCCTCAAAGGACAAGAGACCATGCAATTATCTTGAAACCAGGGAGTCAAGTGACCAATAGTCGTCCTTACAGGTACCCGTATTATCAAAAGTCTGAAATTGAAAAATTGATTGCTGAACTTTTAAGTGATGGGTTCATCAGGCCTAGTGTGAGTCCTTATTCAAGCCCTGTCATCCTGGTAAAGAAAAAAGACGGTAGTTGGAGAGTGTGTGTGGACTATAGGGCGTTGAACAAAATGACGGTGCCAGACAGGTTCCCAATTCCAGTGGTTGAGGAATTGCTCGATGAACTTGGGGGTTCTAAGCTGTTCAGCAAGCTGGACTTGAAATCCGGATATCATCAGATCAAGATGAGGGAGGAAGACATTCACAAGACCGCATTCCGAAACCCATGAGGGACACTACGAGTACTTAGTGATGCCATTTGGCCTCACTAATGCTCCCTCAACCTTCAATGCGCTTATGAATGAGGTATTAAAGCCCTTTTTACGGAAGTTTGTGTTGGTTTTTTTTTATGATATCTTAATTTACAGTGAGAACGCCTTGGAACACCTTGAGCATCTCAACTTGGTCTTTTCGGCCTTAAGGAAACATCAGCTGTTTGTGAACAAAAAAAAATGCAAAATGGGGCAGAGTCAAATTGAATACCTGGGACACTTCATTACCGCAGAGGGTGTGAGCGCTGATCCCAACAAAATCATGGCCATGACCAAGTGGCCAAGCCCGAAGAATGTGAAGGAGTTGAGAGGCTTTCTGGGGCTCACGGGATACTATAGGAAATTTGTTCGTGATCATGGGAAAATTGCTCAACCCCTGACTCAACTACTCAAGAAAGATGGGTTTAAGTGGGATGAAACGTCAGAGGAAGCTTTTCAGATTTTAAAGAAGGCTATGACTATGACGCTTGTATTGTCTTTGCCCGATTTTTCTAAACAGTTCACAGTTGTCACCGATGCCTCAGGGAAGGGTATAGGGGCAGTCCTAATGCAAGAGGGCCGACCATTAGCCTATCTGAGTCAAGGATTTTCCAATGCTGCTCTGTCTAAATCAGTGTATGAAAAGGAATTGATGGCCATTGTCTTTGCGGTGAAGAAATGGCGTCATTATTTGCTTGGGCACCATTTTGTAGT